AGTCCCTGGCCCTTACAGAAGATATGAAGGAGGTAATTCCATGTAGGAACCCTCTCAACAATCCAAGCTTAGGAGAAAGAAATTATAGCTGTGAATATCTGAACACATTTGGAAGCTGAGATAATTTATTTCTTATCACAGAGAAATGATCGCAAGGAAGATTTTAAAATAAATCATCACTGTTTGAATGCAGGTAACTGAGAACAGCTGTTGGAAACATCCACCTTAAGGTGATGTCTGCCTTTACCCCTCAGCAGAATGTGTGTAGTTTGTCTTTACGTAAACTCTCATGACCTATTGTTGGTATTGCAGTGGAAACCAACCTATTTGTATACCTCTACAAGCAGTGCTTATTCTTGCTTTCTCTTGCTCTTTTATGCTTTCTCAGTCAGGTGCTCATGGCAGAGATCCTAGATCCTGCTGCCACCTGAATATGTGGAGGTGCCCATGTCTCCTCCAGCCACAGACCCTTGCCAATGTGGCAACAAAGGGAGAGAACTCTTCCTACACCAAAAGCAAGGCTGATGAGAGTACATCTTTCTGAGTTCGGGAGGCCAGTGGTTTTAAATTAGATTGATTTAACTGATTATGAGAGACGCCTCAACCCCAGTGTGTGTGAACACCTGCAGTAACAAATCTACTATAGACAAGACACCCAGTCAGTCATGGATGATGACCCCAATGGCAGGCATACTTGGAGTGACTGGAAAAGCAGCTCTCCTCTCCAGAGGCCTCTTAAAGGGCTACTTCAGGGGCTCCCTTCTTTTCTGAAACACTGCAATGAGATTATCTGTGTGGGATATTTTTAAAAAATGTGACAGAGTAATGCTTTGATTCAATGCATGATCTGTGTGGCAATAAATCCCTCCGACTACCATTAATGCTATTTTTCATCAGAAGGGCAGTGGTGTGGCAGACAGGAGCAATTTCCTTGTTAGTTTCCTCTTTTAGAAAAACCTTTCCTTTGGAACATGCCTCATGGTAGTGATTGCCAAAAGAATCAGTCTGCAGTGTCTTTGCTACGCTCTTTTTCAAAGTCCTTTCTTCACTGCATACCACTCAGCCTGTATTAACCCTTTCTTCCACTGAAAATCCTTTAACATCTGAATTATCTTTTCTTATCCTTACCCTTTAGCAAAGTGCAAATAGACTAACTAATCCACATTCATTTCTATTAACATACTTACCAAGGGTGAATAAACCCTATGGAAGTCCAAAAATAACATGAAATAGTGCAAAGATCCTATATTTTCATCTTCTCAACTGGGGCCAAACACACTTGCAGAGAGGACTAACTGGGACTCAGCTACATTCTTCTGTTCTGTAGCTCAGCTCTCAGCTGAGCTTTTTATTTGTAACTCTTCATATAGTGTTGCCTATAGTTCTATTTCAGGAGGAGTGTAGTCAATAAAACCAGAATGTAATTCTCAGTCAGGTTTCAGAAACATTTGGTAAATAAAGCAGTATTCTTCTCCGTGACTTTTTACAGATTATTTGCATTGTTTCTTCTTTTCCACCCCATGGTTAAAATTGTGTACTAACTATAAAATACAAATTCTTTTTCTAAAGGAAGTGAGCTAAGTTTTAAGGCGGCAATTAGGTAGGTATCTCTGGTTCTGATGCTGGAAACAATGCACAGAAAATATTTCAGTATCTCTGCTTGACAGATTGTAACTTACTATACTATCACTGCAGAAATAAACCACCTGTTAGGAAAAGAAACAGCATGTAATATACGAAGTTTCTCTTTGGTTCTAGCTTTTAATTTGACTTTGTCTTCTTTTAAGTAAATTATTCATAACATCTTCATTTTCAAACCTTTATTCTTCATAACATATATTATAACTGTGGTTCTCACCCATATTTCAGATCTATTAACCCCATGGAATGACTAATTAATTCTGTATTCTGGTACCTATCTTCTCTACTGCTGTGAAAGGTACACTGTTGCATTTTTGTTGTCAATTCCTAATAAATTAGAAGCTTTGATTTTCAAGTTATCAAAGAGAAAACCGTACAGAGAACCTTTAACGAATTAAATACTAATTTGCTCTCTGTGTTTAGGATGGCTAGTAAGTGTCATTTTAACTTACTTTTCTAAATTTTAATGCAAAAGTCAGATAGTCTTAATCCTTTGTCCAAGGAATGAGGGAAGAAAGCATTGTACCCTCCTCCTTGTACCCTCCTCCTTGCATACGTGCCTGAAGACCAAGGATGCAACAACTCTGATAGCATTACACTGACAGTTCATTTCAAGATATAAGCAAAGGAGGTGTTCTGTTACTTTTTTAAAAGTTTGACTCTGTTTTTAAATGTTAGTGGAATGTTTTGAAGAGAGGTAGCCTTCCCTTAGCCCTTCACTCCCTCGCTTGGATTTTTTCTCTGACATAGCTGACTGTTATGCTTTTGTATGAAGAGGCTGAGGAACAGAAATGGTAAAGTAGGAAAGTGGAATTCTCTCCAAGTAATAGAGCAATTTGCTACAGTACTACACTTGTAAGAGTCAGCTTTTTATAACAAGTAGGAATAACACAAAAGATCTGCAGCGTGAAGCTGACATTAGGCTATATATGCTGTACCTGTACCAGAGGCTCCTGAGGACAGCAGTGGGACAAGTTGTGCTCCACCTGTTTCCATAAGTAAACAACCTTGCAGGTGATACAGGTTGCAGCAACCAGAACAGAGTCAATTGTGGCCAAGTGCCAGCTTTTTCTAATGCAGCTTTTATTTCACAAAAATTTCTTGCTATACATTTAAATCAAAAGCATTCTACTATGCAGCGTATCTTTTTACAGTCCATTTGCCTGGTGGAACATCAATATTGTTACAAAACAGCCTGAGAGAGTTGCATAAGAAATGGCAAATGCTTTTTCAAAATGCAACCAAAGAATATCCTATATATGAATCCAGAAAACCTGTATAAAATTTCTAAGTCTGATAGCAGCTTATCCTACTATGATTCCTATGAACCAATTAATTCTGTCATATTGGTAAAATGTTTCTGTTCTCATAATCTTGAAAAGAGAAACCCTTAGCTTTATGAGTGTCTGTGAGATGTTAGAAACACTGGAAGAAAAGATGTGCTTAAATGCTAGCAGGATTAGACACTACGGATGTAGTCTTCAGCTACTTGTACAATTTGGACTTTCCTTACTTACTCTGTCAAAACAGAAAATTATCTTCATCACAGAATGATGGGATTGTTTATGTTGGAAAAGACTTTAAAGCTAGTGCAGCCCACTGCCATAGCAGAGGTTGTGGCCTGCTATGCTCACTCCAGCAGCTCCTTCTCTTGTTGACAACCCTAGAGCTGGATGCAGCACTGCAGGTGGGGCCTCACCAGAGCACAGCAGAGGGACAGAATCTTCTCCCTCACCCTGCTGGCCATTCTGCTTTGGATGTAGCACAGGACACTTATTGCTCTCTGGGCTGAACTGCAAATTGTTGGGTCATGTCAAACTTCTCAGCCACCAACACCCCCAAGTTGCTCTCCTCAGGGCTGCTCTCAATTAATTTCTGCCCAGCCTGTGTTTGTCTTTGGGACTTCCCTGACCCAGGTGCAGCACCTTGCACTTGGCCTTGTTCAGCTTCATGAGGTTTGCATAAGCCCACTTCTCAAACCTGTCAAGGCCCTTCTGGAAGGCATCCCCCTGCTCCAGCATGCTGACTGCACCACACAGCTAGGTGTCATTGGCAAACTTGCTGAGGGTGTACTCAATCCCACTCTGTGGCACCAACAAGGTTGGTCAAAAACCACTAGTCCTAACACCAATCCCTAAGGAATGCCACTCAATCTTTTAATATTAAATAGTTTTGTATGGTCCTTTCCCTACAGATTTCATTGGTTTAGTCTATTAAACACACGAGGCAAAGCCAAAACACTTATCAGTATATCTATCTTAAAAGTTTCTCTTGGCTTCAGGCAATATATGGTGAATGAATGTAATAAGATTTTACCAAAAAAAATAGGTCTTACATATTCACTACTGCTTTATCGAAGTCATACTCTTTAGCTCTTGAATGTATGACTTGTCTCCTGGCTTCAAATTAATAATAATTGTCTCCCACTAGGTTGTTGTTTTTTTTAAAATAATGGAAGGCTTTCCTTTATCTGCTGATTAGTAAGAAAAAAGGAAGAGACTTTGATGTTCTCTCCTTGGAATTGTTGCAATATTTTCAGCTTAAGCCTCCTGACCTGATTCATAAGTGTTCAAGTCAAGAACGATTAAACTTTTCTCATAACTTAAAAACAGCTCTCTATTGCTTGGTCCTTCTAAGATTCTTCTCTTATCTTCAAGGTCAGGTAAAAACATCAAGGGTTTAGAAATATGCTCTGTCTGTGAGATAGGTCAAGATGACCTTGTGCTCTTCCCCCAGAAAAACTTTCTTGTATTTCTTCTTCATTTAAGCTCAGACTGAGAAGAAAACAGCACAAAGTGCCTCCAGCAGCTTTAAAACTGATGGATGTTACCTAATTTTCAAGCTGTTTCAAATATCTTTTATTTCTTTCTTTGATTAGTTTTAATAATATTTTTGCAGGATACTATTACTCCAGACTGATGTTCTCTGGCTTACAGATTTTTTTTGTTTCGAATTTCATGCCTACTGGCAAGATCTGCTGTCTGCTTTACTTAAGAAATCAAGAAAAATCTCTTCTGCAGATTAATTTTCTGCTGCTGCATTGTCCTCATTACGTTAGGCTGGGGAACTTTTCTTTGTTGCAGCAGTACATACACGAAAGTTAATATATTCGTGGTATCTTCTATGTGTCTTGGACTGGCATCCCTAAACTGCACACTTTGTTTCTCTTCTCTTTCTCTCCCTTCCTGTTGTAGGTAAAAATCCTCTTGGTCTGGCACGGTGTTTTTAAATGACATGCTTTTCAAGCATGAAGTTACTATCCCCGTGCTGTCTAGAGTACATATAGTCAATATGGTGATTATTTTCACTGACTGCTAGGTGAAGCCAGCAGAAACCCCTGCACTGAGGGGGGTTTTTACCTGCGAGTGTCTTGCTTCCCGAAATACTCCGGCGACCGCCTCATCCTGACTACTCCAGGCGCCCCCGTGTGGTCAAACTCCGTGTCGTTCCCTCCTGCTCCCGGCTTCCTGAAGTACAGCAGCGAGAACAGAATCGTCTGGCTAGTCATCGTGCCCTCCTCAGGGGATCTTCACAGAGTCAAGGGACGTTCTGAGTTGGAAAGGATACACAAGGACCATCAAGCCCAGCTCTTAAATGAATGGCTGATCGAACACACAATTTCAGCGTTATTAGCACCACGCTTTAACCGACCGACCCAGTGTTTCCAGCCCTCCCCCAGCTTCCACGTATCTTCCAGAGCAGAAGTTCCCTCCTCAAAGCCAACTGCAAAGACCTTGGGGGCAAGTGAATAAACAAACAAACAAACAAACAAACAGCGACCAACACTCACCATATGTGCTCCTTTTTTTTTTCAGGCTGGCAGTGAGACTCATAGGTTTTATAAATTCCATTGACTTGCACAGTATGACCAACATGGAAGAATATGAAAGAGGGGGGGCTTGCCTGTAAGCACTGAAGTCATGCTGTAAACAGAAAAGGCAGACAAGTAGATCTTAAAGAGACACTGATTTAAAAATTCCCTATAGAAGACAGAAAATTCTTAACAAAGGTGAATTGCTAACACACGGTCTCTTTTAGCAAGGGGAGCTATTCCGTGTACTCTTGTGCACTTTATTTGTGAGCACAATGGTCTTTCCATACCTCACCATAGCATGCCATGCCACATCATATCCATAAACATGCCATAGCACACCACACCACACCATATATTCTTCATTCATGCCATTAAGAGGAAAGCTGCATGAATGACACTAAAAAGATCTAATGAGGTTGACTGCTGTTTCTATTTTACAGCTCTTTAGCTATAGTTTCTGAAGCTTTCATACATGGCTACTGAACTTCATTTGTCTCAATCATCAATTCCTTTTAACCAACTCAGATTTTAGACTATGGAATGTATAGGGAGAGGTTTCCATTGCAGCAAGATCATAGAAATCCTTTTTTATGGATTCAAAAGTTGTTTAGAATTGATAATGAGATAGGTTGCAGTGGAAAATGTGATTCCTAACTAGATAATGAATTCTGATAGAATTCTGTGTTTTAGCTGTTGTTATCCTGACTCAGGATATTTGCTATTCCACATTTTTGTTTGCACAGTAATAATCAGAGGACACGTGAAATTAAGTCAGCTGTTTCCGAGGAAAAATATAACTGAGCTTGACACTGATCATCCCAGTGTAACATAATATCTGAGTCAGCTGCATGGTTAAGGGAGGCATCATGGGCACTGATGTAGGTTAGAGGTCTTCGGGAGAAACACACCCAGCTGAACATCAGAAGTTCTCAAGAGCAGAAGGTGGAAAGGAGATGTTTCTAGAAGGACAGAGGATATCCTACAGATGATAATGCTTTACCCAAATAGTTTGATTTGTCCATTGAGTAAATTCTTATATGACTAGCTGTAGAGACTTCGCTGACTTCTGATAAACCAGAACTAAAAACTGAAGAAGTAAAATATTGTAGTAGTGTTACTGTTGAAGGCATGCACATTCATGGTATATTTTCTGTTCTGCACAAAGATCTATGTATGCTCAGCTTTACGTACCCAGCTTCCATTATTTATTTCCTACTGTTACAGAACAAAATATAACTTTCTCTATTGTTTTGGTTTTGCTATTTTGTTTAGATTTTGCTATGTTTTGTGGGTTTGTGGTTTTGGTTGGTTGGGTTTTGGTTTTTTTTGGTTTGTGGTCTGTTTTTTTTATTTTAAGAAAGTTGCAGAATTCATGTGGGTTAACTTGAAGAAAAAAGACACAATTTCCCTGGTTGCATTTCCCATTCTGGTTCATAGAGGACCACACAGTTTTATACCAGCACATCTGAGTGACAGGTACCCTCATGAGTTGGAAAACACAGGAAGAGACTAGGAATGCTTCAGCTGACAATGGAGGAGGTTTCTTCTTTTCTTCTGTTTGTAGTTTGTCCGTCACCTTAAACATGGAGGAGTAGGGGTCTTCAATAGAAAAATCATGGCGTATAGAGCTGGCACATGAGAACATCAATCCTATCTCTAAGTGCCCTAAGTGGTCTTTTGTTTCATTTGCTCTGTATAGATCAGAAGATGCCAGACTATGATGTCCTGGACAAGCTTCACAGCTCCACAGGTGACTTTCTTTGAGCCCACACATTTTCCATCACGGAAAGGTCCTCATAACACCCTGAGTAACATTGCAGGGGCACCTGACAGTGGTGCTTTGTGTTGCCTTCTCTAAGCCTCCTTTATACTTTTGCCTCTGCCCACTGCGATGTGTCACTTAGGGCTGCAAAATATGCATTCACCTGTGTGCAAATTAAGTTATTCCTCTCTGTGAGAGCCATGTTGTGGGTGCACGTGCAGAACACTGGTGGTCACAGACAGTGAGGAATAGCTGATAATGATACAAACCTGGACTAATTTGGCTAGATTTTTATGTGATTAACCAGATCATGCATAACCAGATCAAAGTTAATCTCCTATCAGATAGCTTAAAAAAGAACCTGAGCTGGAAGATTTTCACTTCTTCCTCTATTCTGACTTAAGTTAAGGATAACCAAATACCCTGGACTGTTCCAAGAAAGCTTGGAGTATGGTGTACAGGCAAAAGAAGGAAAAAAGACAGTCTTGAAGTGTACTAAGCAGTGATAATGCTAGTCAAAATGTGAAACCAATATCAGGCCACAAGCAAGGGAATAGAGATGAATTATATAAGTAATGAGTAAAACTAGTTTTCAAACATTCTTTTTATTGAAAAAATAGAATTTTGACTAAATAGTACTATAGTTTTGGGAGTTTCTCTTGGTTGGAACAGATGCAAATGCTTGATATGGTAACTAGTCTCTTGCCTGTGCATATATCACTGCTAAAAAGAAATCCTAAAAAAACCCACTACCATGAATCCTGATGAACTGGTAAATTAAATGTGCTAGTAGCTAAGTTACTGTAATGTATTCATGAAACTGCCTTGTTTTTCCCATTTTGGTAACAGATATAAAACTTTACAATATGCAGTACAAGTTGTTATTATTTTCATCCTTGTGAGCTGAAAATGTGATCTTGCTGTGTTAAACAGACTGTTTATGAGGGAGTGGTGGCAAACAATGCTCTCTATAGAAATAGCTGTTCCCCAGAAGATCCTCTGAAAGTAGATGCTTAGCTGTTTAAAACATTGGCAGAAGAAATGTATTGCAATTTGCAAATTCCTGTTCTAAAAACCTCTGCAATCTTCTATAATTCAGTTCAAAGTCCTGATACTGAACAAACAAATGTTGTGCCAGGCACTTGATATCTTAATTTCCTGCCACTGAACCATCTCTGCTACAGTCATTGTAGAGGGGCTAACATGAGTCACTAAAAGCACATGTACTGCCCCTGGAGTGGCTCTTGTAGCTCTAGTGGAATTGAATAGACTTCTGTTGTCTCCAGAGTACCTGGAAGCCCGTAACATACATTCACAGTGGTTGGTGTAATGTCTCTTAAATCAGTAGAAATGTACCCAATTAAATGAGCTTATGTAAGTCTGTACCAAAAACAAAAAGGTTTCTCAGGTGGAAAGGAAATTAAGTAACTGAAGTTTTTCTTCTTTCCTGAAAACAGTGCACTCCACCGACTGTTCGTTCAATGGCAAGATGAGAGGAAGATTCAGCTAAAACCTAGTATTCCCCAAAGACATATTCCTAAACAGTCTCAGTGAACAGGTAGTGATGATTTTCCCATGAGAATGAATGGAACTGAGTCAGAAAAAGCATGTAAACACATACATTACACACTACTCAAAGGACAGGGCCAAAGACACTTGCAAAAGTGTTGGGACTGTCCCATAGAGGACACACGGTGTTTTCAGAGCCAGTTGCTGGCCTAAAATATCATCTCATTGTCTCCAGGACACTCAGGGCCCAGCTGACAGTGCTCACTAGGACCTTGTTCACCACCTCCTTCTGCAGGGCTGCATTTCCTCGTGCCCTCCCAGGGTGCAGCCCCGGCTGCGGGCTGGCAGTGAGGTGCAGCTGGCAGAGGGAGGCACTGGCGGAGCGCCTGAGCCAGGGCCAGCGGGAGCAGCCGGGCAGGCGTCGCTGCAACGCGGCACGGCGGAGCGGTGCAAAAGGCTGATGGGGAAAACACTAAATTAAAGGAGTAGTTCCTGAAAGAGAAGGGCGCTCCACGTTCTCCTGCGAGTAGCTGCGGGGTCAGGAGCTAGCTCCAGGTGGATGCTGCTCCATCAGAGGGGAATGCATTTGGGAGAGCAGAGGGGTGTCCTTCCCCACTGCGCCCCAGGACCGTGGGGGTTTCTGCAGTGCGGAGAGCAGAGCACAAAACTTCTTTATGTATGCATTATCACTGCCACTTGAGATGTTTGGTCCCCTCCAGAGGACTCCGGTTTCCAGTGCTGGATCTTCTTCCCCTCCCATCCCATGTACAGCCTTTGCTTCCATGGCCTGGTGTGTGCCAGCACTTCTGTTACTCTTCAGCTGCCAGATCTGAGCAGATTGATAATAATCTGAGGTCAGCAGTCCAGCAGTCAGGGACTGAGTGGTGACCAACTCAGATGCCGTGATGGGGGTGGCAAGCAGACACTGCCCAGTGGAGCCTGAAGCTTTTGGGCACAGCCCCTGGGACTGGTGGCACTGGTAGGTCGTTAGACCTTGTGGAGCCTCAGGCTGATGGCCATGCTGGTGGCTCAGCTGAGCGCAGCTGCTGAGCAGTCCAATGTGCAAGCTGGACTGGGAGTGGTCACATTACAGCCCACTGGTGCTGCCCCCTGGCTAGAGCCACCCTTTGCTGTGCTACCATAATGCCCAACATGGGATAAGCCAGCTCCTCTCTTTCCATCCTTCAGCAGCCCCTGGCCCTTCTGCCTGGTGAGAAAGGAACCTACCTAATTGTTTTTCAAGATTCCAGGGACTGCAGGGCAGATGTGAATTAGTTTTACACCAGAATTCAACTGCCTTACCTCATCAATATCTGCAATTATCTGAAGGGAGGATGCCAAGAGCATGGATCCAGGCTTTTCTCAGTGATACCAAGCAATAGACCAAGAGGCAAAACTGATGAACTGGAATTTCCACTCAAATACGAGGAACTCTTTTACTGTGTCCTTGACTGCACACTGGAACCTTTTGGCTGTCCAAAAGGTTGAAGAGACTCCCTCACTGAAGATATTCAAGAATCATCTGGACTCAATTCTGTGCAATGTGCTTTAGGACAAAGCTGCTTGAACAGGGAGGTTGGACCAGATGACCCAATGTGGTCCCTTCCAAACTGACCCATTCTGTGATTCTGTGAACTGTGATGAAAGCAATACAGATGTGACCTTCTCAATGCAGGTCATAAGCAATTTTAAACAAGCACAGGCTTTAAAAGTTGGGCTTCTAAGTTAATCAAGAAATAAATCCTAAGTCTTGCAACCTTCTCAGCTTGCTCAGAAGAGTGAAT